CTCTCTCATTTTTGAGACATGTATTTTGTAGCCCAAGGAGGCCTGGAACTCACTATGTAAACCAGGCTGGCCTTGATCTGCCTGCTTCTGCCTCTGGAGTGCTGGGATTAAAGGCGTGCGTCACCACATCTGCCCACAATGTCGTTCTTAACCAGCTAACAGCTGATACAGAATAAGAAGCTGTAGTGGTTGAATGAGGAATGTCCCCCATAGGCTCAGGTATTGAACACTTGGTCCCCAGTTTTTGGCACTGTTTAGGGAACCTTTGGGAGGTGTGGCCTTGCTGGAGGAAGAAGTCACTGGGGATGGGCTTTGAGAGTTTTATAGCCTTGCTCCACTTCCAGTTAGCTGTTTCCTGTGTGATGAAATTGTGGTCTCTTAGCTTCCTGCTATGGCCACCTGCTCCCATTTCTCCATCACCATTATGGACACCCCTCTGGGACTGTAAGTGCAAATAACCTTTTCCATAAGTTGCTTCTTGCATGACATTATATCATATAAAGCTTTACAGAAGCTGACTAGCACTAGGTTTATTCAGTTTCTACACCTCAGCACTAGGTTTAAACTAGCACTAGGTTTATTCAGAGTGATTCATTTTACCCAGGGAATTAAGGGACTCATTTTTAAGGCTCAGCAGTTAAGAGCACTCTTGTAGAGGAATCAGTTAAGTTCCCAGCACCCACATGACAGCTAACAAACCATCTGTAACTCCAGCTTCAGGGGATATGACACCCTCTTCTGTCCTCTGTTAGCATTGCATGACATGGGTGCACTTACACACATGCAGGCATAACAACTCGTGCACATAAAATAAGTAAATCAGCGGCTGGAGAGATGTCTCAGCAGTTAAGAGCACTGGCTACGCTTGTAGAGGACCTGGGTTCAAATCTCAGCACCCACATGGCAGCTAACAAATGTCTGTAACTCCAGTTCCAGGGGATTTGACACCCTCTTCTGACCTCCAGGGCACCAGGTGCATGAAAAGCACACATATATATGTATATAGTACACATACATACATGTAGGCAAAGCACTCATGCACATAAAATAAAAATAAATCCTTTAAAAAGTAAAAATAGAAAGAGGGCTGGAGATGTAGCTCAATGGTAGAGCACTTATCTCACATGCTCAAGGCACTTACCACATTAACAACCACAAAGAGCAAAAGCACATGGAGGACCTTCCAGAATAGGGGGAAAAAGATGTATCCCTGGTTGTTCATTTTGTTTTCTGAAAATGACAATTACTATACTCTTTCTACTTTTCAGATCTGCCAATCTAAAGACTTAGAGAAATGGTAGTTTATTTCCTGGTTCTTCTAACTTTTATGTCATGGTTAAAACTTTGTGTCTTCTGGGGCTAAGCTGGAGCTCAGTAACAGAGCATGCATGAGACCCTGGGTTCAGCCCCCAGCAAAAAAGCACTTCCTGTGTTCTTCATAAAGCTGAGGACTGCTACATATTTATGATTTTTTGCTGGGTGGTGTTTCAGAGACTCCCAGTATACATGTTCAGGTGTTAGTGCCCTACACAGTAGGCTTTCTACACCTCGGACCATCTGACCAGTCCAACTGCTTTTGTGAATGTGGAGCAATTGGGATCCTTATGCATTGCTAATGGATAGGTAAAACAGAAATGTCACTCTGAAAAGTGGTTTGTTCATCCCTTATAAAGTTTAACATACTTATTATTCCTGGTAATCTTCTGCAGGCATGAATATTTGTGGCAGCTCCCTTCATAATTACCAGAACCTAGACCAACACAGATGTTCTTCAAATGATGATAAATAATAATTTGAAGGCTAATTGGCATTGATAAAGATAACAATGTGGATGGATCTTAAAGACAGCATGCTTGCTAGGTATGGTGGCACAGACCTTTAATTACAGCACTCAGGAGGCAGATGCAGGGTGATCTCTGTTAGTTCCAGGCCAGCCTGGTCTACATATTGAGTTCTAGGTCACCCAGGGTTACATTGAGACCCTGTTTCAAAAAACCAAAAATATGCTGAGAAATATGTAACCTTTGTAAATTTAAAATATTATACTGTATGATTCCATTTATGTGACATAAAACTGTAGGAAGAGAAAGAGACAACCCTTCTTGGGGTTACAGATGTAGAAAGGGAATAAATCCAATATACAGGAGTATTTTTGTGGGAGTGTTGAAACCTTCAATAGAATGATTATGGTTTCGATTATACATATTCATGTATTAAAATTTACAGTATTATGTGCCAAAAAGATGAGTTTTACTGTATGATAACTTAAAATTTTTATTTATTATTTTGTGCATGGGGGTAACATGTGCTCTGACATGTGTGTGGAAGTCAGAGGACAACTTTGTGCAGTTGGTTCTCTCCTTTCACCTCTACACTGATTCCAGGGATTGAACTGAGGCCGTCAGGCTTAAGTGGCAACCCTGCACCATTCCACCAACCCCCATATATAATGTTTTCTAAAACCATTTAAACAGTAAAATGTATATGTATATATCACTATTCTATAGCAGATAGGTACATATGCACACTCCCATACCTGTACGGGGGCTATTTTATTTCTCTATTTACTGTCCCCAAACTGCACACTTTTTCTTTATAATACTTTAGCCTGACACATAACATACCAGGAAACAATTCTGAGTTGGTTGCCTAGGGATATCTGCCATCTTCGTTAATGCCCTTGCCCTCTTATTTTTCTGTCCCTGCCTTACTCGCTTCCCCTGTCTCCATTTCTTTCCGCATTTTTGTCTCTCATCATGTCCCTTGTCTCTTTCTTCGCCTGTTTGTTTCCCCTAGATGCTGTGGGTGCTCTGTTCTCATTCCTGGGGCGTACCTGTCACAGGGAGCAGAGACTGAGGCCTGGATGGCTAACCTCATTTGCGAAGGCTTCTCTGGTCCAGGGAGGAACTCCACCTATGCCCGGGTCACGACAGTGCTCTCAACCAGGAGGGACAGGCTTCCTGGACAAACACCTAGCCCCTGGCCCTGGCCAGAGGAACCCTGAGGTGTGTGTGCAGCCTTCAAGCCTCTTGGCAGGGGTGTCTCCTTTCCAGTTGCCAGGAGTGCAACCTGTTCCTGGGAGGGGCTTTTTCCGACCATTTCTTTGCAGATCTGGCCTCCATCTCCCCGACTTGATTCCTGGGGTCTCCGCAAGATGGACCCACTGTGGGCCCAGTCCTGTGTCACAGCCCCTCTGGAGCCTGGCCTTCCCTCCTTGGGCCTCTCTCTTCCTTTCCGCATCTGCCACCTTCTCTCCAATTCTTTTAGCTCAGGTGTGCTGGGGCCACCGAGGCGCCTGTGCCGGCCGCACCGCTCCTCCCGCCCGCAGGGGGCGCTGTGCAGCGGAGCGGCTGGCGCTGGGCTCCGAGTGAGCCGGGCTCCTTCCTGGGGTCGCCGGGAGCCAGTGCTCGCTGTGTCGCAGGGGCCACGGCCCGGCTGGGCGAGTCCGTGGGGGCCATGGACCCACCGGCTCGGGTAAGGGGCGCCGCGCGGATCCCGGGCTGAGGGCTGGGGCGGGACTGCGGGCTGCGCGCCCTGGGACACGGTGGTGTAGGTCCGACTGTGTGGGGCGGGAGGCCGGTGCTCCGCCGCTGCTCGGTGGCGGGACCCGGCAGAGCCGAGCCCGGGTCCGAGGTCGCACCGAGCATAGCCGAGCCTGGGTGGGGACCCCGAGCCGAGCGAGCCCGGGTCCGAAGTCGGACCACTGAGCCACAGCCGCGGTTCACAGCTTATCCACGTAATTCAGAACAAACGCTTTAAGGAGTTTGACGGGTTAAATACGCAAAAAGATATGCAGCACATTCCTAAACAGAATTTTCAGTAAGTGGAAGATGGCCATTCCCGTAAATGGGAAAATAAGCATAATAAAAAAATATTCTTCCAAATGAATACGTAAATTCTTTCCAGTTTCATGAAATGAAAGATTTGTGAAATTATTAAAAATAGATAATAAGGTTCCATTGCAAAACTAGGTAGTTCTTCCTGTTCCACAAGATGTAGCCCCATCGTACCCTATGAATGCCTGTAGAAGGAGTGCTCTAATTTACCGCCTTTGCCATCTTTTTTTTCTTTTAACTCTTATGTATGAGTGTATTGCCTAAATACATTGTAAGTGCATCCGTGTCGTGCAGTGCCCTCGGAGGTCAGAAGAGGGCGTCGGATTCTCTGGAACTGGAGTTACAGACAGTTGTGAGCTGCCATGTAGGTTCTGGGAACCAAACGTCGGTGCCTTGGAAGAGCACCCAGTGCTCTTAATCACTGAGTCATCTCACCCGCCCAAATATCCATTTTTCAAGACAACCATAATAAACATAAATACTAACCAGTTTTGAGCTGAGGATAGTGTTCAGTGGTAGAGAACTTATCTCATATGTGCAAAGCACTGGGTTCAATCACCAGTAACACATGTGCACGTGTATACACACACACACAGTTTTTAGAATGATTGTTTATACTCTTTGACTCTTTGACTTTCTATTTCTTCAGTTTAAACGTTATCCTACAAAATCATATGTAGTAATCCATAAGGAAACAGATCATAGCAGTGTTTGTAATTTATGAAGGGGAAGGAAACAATGTGCATATGGCCCATTAGTGGGAAATGTCTACGATGGAATATGATATAATGTGATGTACCCCAAAACAAGTTTACCTCCTGTATTGACCTGGAAACATGGACATGCCACATTAAGTGAATGAAGTTTGATATTGCATGGTCTCACTTTTGTAAAGAAAACATTCCACACCATACATGTGGATATATAGTTGAAGAAGTGTGTGGGATGAGATGTAGTTTTGACAGCAGAACCACATGCTGGAACTGGGAACAAATGAGCAACAGCTGTCCACTACGTGAGTCTTATTGATGAGGATGAACTGGAGTAATTTTGCAGCAAATGTGACTGTATTTGTATTGTCTTTCACTTCAGTTGCCCCTGACTTTTGAGGATGTGGCCATTTATTTCTCTGAGAAAGAATGGCAGAATTTAGAGACATGGCAGAAGGAGCTTTACAAGCATGTCATGAGAACCAATTATGAAACTCTTGTCTCTGTAGGTAAGGAATGTTCAACTTCTGGGGTAAGTCATGGAACTGGATCTTCTGGGAGCCCTCAGTCACTTGATACTTCTGTTTGTCAGGTATCAAAGATTATTTATAAATTAATTCAGAAAGGCTTTTTATCCCATATTCTTTTGTTAATACTAATGTACACATTACAGGTCTTCACTCTGTTGGTGTTATAAGAGTTTACTCTTAGATTGCTATGGCTTTCCACCTAGAAGCACCTGGCTTATACCCATAAAGTACCTAGGAATGGGCCTCCTCACAGCTTGCCAGTGGTGTTAAAGACTACAAGAAGTTAGTGGTCTTTCCTGTAGTGTGATTCTCAAAAAGGTGAACACTGAAGTGTTTAAGAATAGCAGACTCTGGTTAGCATAATTGGTATTCCTTTTGGTCTACTTTCCTTCTTTGGTCTTTATATTTCCTCCTCTTCCTCTTTCTCCTTCCCCTCTGCTTCACCCCTCCTCTTCTTTCTTTTTTATTTCTGAGACAAGGTCTCACTATGGAGCCCTAGCTTGCTTAGAACTAATTATGTAGAGCAAACTGGCCTCCAACTCACACATATCCATCTACTTTGGCCTCCCAAGAGTTGGGCTTAAAGGCATGTAATACCATGCCCAGCCCTTCTCCTCTTTCTCCTTCTGTGTCTATGTCTCCTCCTGTGTGTGTGTGTGTGTGTGTGTGTGTGTGTGTGTGTGTGTGTGTGTGCGGGGCGTGAACTAATTATGTAGAGCAAACTGGCCTCCAACTCACACATATCCATCTACTTTGGCCTCCCAAGAGTTGGGCTTAAAGGCATGTAATACCATGCCCAGCCCTTCTCCTTTCTCCTTCTGTGTCTATGTCTCCTCCTGTGTGTGTGTGTGTGTGTGTATGTTCTGGAGATGATGCCTAGGGCTTTATACATGCCAGGCAAAGGCTCAACCACTGAGCTATACTCTAGCATCCTTATAGTTCTTCTCATTTATCAAACAGGATTTTTTTTTAAAAAAAGAGCTGGGGCCAGAGAGATGACTCAGTTGGTAAAACCTTACCATCATGAGGACCTGAATTTGGATCCTCAGAACCCACATAAAAAGCCAGATGTGCACTGAGTGTGGTGGCACACGCCTGTAGTCCTAGCACTTGGGAAGCAGAGGCAGGTGGATCTCTGTGAGTTTGAGGCCAGCCTGCTCTACATAGTGAGTTCCAGGCTAGCTGGGGCTACAGGGAGACCCTGTCTCAAAAAGACCAAAAAAATAAAATAAATAAATAAATAAATAAATAAATGCTAGATGCAGTAGCATACACCTGTGATATAGTCTTAGTGATGGTGCCTGGCATGGTAGCACACACCTCTAATGCCAGCACTTGGGAGGCAGAGTCAGATGGATCTCTGTGAGATTGAGGGCAGCCTAATCCACATAGGAAGTTTCAGGTTACCTGGGGCTATAAAGAGATTCTGACTCAAAAAAAAAAAAACAAAAAAAACCAAAACAAAACAAAACCCTGAAAACAAAAAGAAAGCAGGCTAGGGGCTGGAGAGATGGCTCAACAGTTAAGAGTATTGGAGTTTGGTTACCAACACCAATGTATGGTAGCTAACAACCGCCAGAAACTCCAGTTCCAAGGGATCTGACACCATCTTCTGGCCTCTGCAGACATTGTACAATATGGGTGGACTTACATATAGGTGGGCAAAAGACATACACAAAAAATAAAATAAATCAGGAAGAGAGAAAGAAAGAAAAGCAAGCAGGCTGAGCACAGGCCAGAGGAACAAGCCAATAAGCATCATTCCTCCGTGGTCTGTGCTTCAGCTCTTGCCTTCAGGTTCTGTCTTGAGTTTCTGCCTTGGCCTCTCTTGATAATGAACTGTCAGCTGTAAGCCCAATAAAATAAATTCCTTCTTCCCCAAGTTGGTTTTGGTCAAAGTGTTTTACTACAGCAGAAACCAAACCAGAACACTGTGTTGTTGTGTTTTTTTGTTTTTTGTTTGTTTGTTTGTTTGTTTGTTGTTGTTTGAGACAGGGTCTCCCTGTAGCCTCAGCTGTCCTGGAACTCACTATGTAGACCAGGCTGGCCTTGAACTCACAGACATCCACCTGCCTCTGCCTCCTGAGAGCTAGGATTAAAGGCATGCATCATCATGCTCAGCCTTGGAACACTATTCTTGAAGAGCATCCAGGTTTGGTTCCCAGCATCCACATGACCACTCACATCACAACTCTCTGTGACTCCAGCTCCATCAGATCAGAGGCCCTCTTCTGGACTCTGCAGGCACCAGGCTCACATGTGGTGCACATACATATGTGAAGCCAAAACATTCATACACATAAAATAAAAATAAACCTGTTTTTTAAAAAAATATATACTGGGGCTAGAGAGATGACTTATCAGTAAAGAACACTGGCTCCTTTTGCAGAGGACCTGGGTTTTGTTCCCAGGACCCACATGGCTGCTAACAAATGTCCACAACTCCTTTTCTATGGGATCCGATGCCCTCTTCCAACCTCTGTGGGCATTGCATGACACAGATGCACTTATATACATGCAAGCAATACACTCATACAATAAAATTAAAAAAAAATACCTCTGTGTGTGTGTGTGTGTGTGTGTGGTTTATGCACGTGTGTATGTGGTACACACACCTGTATGCCACACGGGGAGACCTTCGGAGGACAGTCTTGTTATATAGCTCAGACTGTCCTCAAACTTTGGAAATTCCAAGTGCTTTCAAGTGCTGGGATTATAGGTTTCTACTACCATAGCCATCTTTAAATCCTTCCTGACATTTGCCTCAGCTAACTTGTATTTAAGACCTAGGGGCAGTAAGATGACTCAGGGGTAAGGCTGGTTGTGGCCAAGCCTGATGACCTGAGTTCAATCTTGGGAACCCACTTAAAAGTAGGAGAGAACTGACTCCTGCAAGTTTTTCTCTGACCCTCACACATGCACAGTGATTGTACCCATATACATACCCTAAATTGGGCATGGTAGTGCATCCCTGTAATCTTCGTACTCAAGAGGCTAAGGCAGGAGGATCACAACTTTGAAACCAACCTGACATACATAGTTCAAGGCCAGGCTAGGCTACATAGTGAGACCTTACTTCAACAAGAAAAATTACTGCAAATAAAGTTAAACCCCTAAGATTTAGCTGTCTTTAAATGACTTAAGAATATTGAAGCAGGGGCTGGAGAGACAGCTCAGTGGTTAAGAGCACTGGCAGCTCTTGCAGAGAACCTGGGTTCTGTTTCCAGCACCCACATGGCAGCTAACAACCGACAGTAACTCCAGTTCTAGGAGCTCCAATGGACTCTTCTGACCTCTGCAGGCATTGCATGATGCAAGTATACTTGCAAGCAAGCAGGCAATACACTCATGCACATAAAATTAAAATAATTAATTGCCAGGAGTGCTGGCACACACCTTTAATCACAGCACTGGGGAGGCAGAGGCAGGCAGATCTCTGTGAGTTTGAGGCCAGCTTGGTCTCCATAGTGAATCCAGGCCAGCTGGGGCTACAGGGAGACCCTGTCTCAAAACAAAACAAAACAAACAAATAAAAAAATTGATTGAATATTTTTAAAATATTGAAGTAGGCTGGGTGTGGTGGTGCACGCCTTTAATCTCAGCACTAGGGATGTAGAGGTAGGTGGATCTTTGTGAGTTCAAGGCCAGCCTGGTCTACATAGTGAGTTCCAGGTCAGCTGGGGCTACAGGGAGACCCTGTCTCAAAAAGACCGAAAAAAAGAGCATTGACTGCTCTTGTAGAGAACCCAGGCTTGGATCCCAGCACCCACATGGAAACTCACAAAGTTCCAAGGGGATTCGATGCTCTCTTTGTCCTCTGTGGGCATTGTACCCACTTGGTGCTCTACAAGCATACAGGCAAAACACTCAGGATCCAGGCAGGCAGACCAGGAAGTGCAGGGTCCAGACCAAGAAGTGGTTCAGACGGACCAGGAGGCACAGGCAGACCAGGGTGTGCAATTTTCTCCTCCTCATGAAAACCTAGAGTTTATTTGTCGACATTGTTCCAGAAGTAGATACTGAAAAATTTTGAAATGATGTGCTTTGTAGGACTCAGGCCAAACTACCTTGTCTTTTCTGTATAGATGGTGGACTTCCCAAACCAGAACTAATATCCTGGATTGAATGTGGGAGAGAACCCTTCAGCAGTTGGGAAGGGGAACAGAAACTAGGTAAGGAGATTCACCCCGATAATGATGATGTGCACTTTGTTTCTTTGTGGATTTTTGTTTGTTTGTTTTGTTTTTTTGAGACAGAGTTTTCCTGTAGTCCAAGCTGATCTAGAACTTGCTATGCAAACCAGGCTAACAGAGATCTGTCTGTCTCTGCCTCCCAAGTGCTGGGATTAAAGGCGTGTGCCACCACACCCTGCTAATGATATGCAATTAGACTCAATTATTGAGAAACAGCTATTTGAGGGTGAATATTAAGAACTTAAGGTCCTAAAATGGATGTTGTGATCCACACCTGTAATCTCAGCACTTGAGAGGTGACACAGGAGGGTCAGGAACTCAAGGTCATTCTCAGCTGCATACTGAGTTCAAGGCCAACATGGACAACATGAGACTCTATCTTGAAAAAGAAAAGAAAAAACAACCAGGGTCCTAATCTTAAGATATCACATCTCCTGGTTTCCCTTCTCTGATTTTGAATTCCTATTTAACTGACCTAAGGATTGATGAAACGTATATTTTATTTTTTTAAATATTTTATGTGTATGAGTATATTGCCTGCATGTATGTGAATGCACCCGTGTCATGCAATGCCGTGGAGGTCAGAAGAGAGCTTCAGATTCCCCTGGAACTGGAGTTAAGGATGGTTCATAGCCTCCATGTGGGTGTTGGGAATCGAACCCAGGTCCTCTGCAAGAGCATCAGCGCTCTTAACCACTGAGCCATCTCTCCAGCCCCAAACATATTAGAGAAAGACAGTGAAGTATAGTGGTCAGGAGCATGGGCGCTGAATTCTGATCTCACCTTTTCTAGGTGACCCTGGGCAGATTATAAAATGAAACAATATATAAAAGTACCTACATTATAGGATTAGAAAGGCTTAATGTATAGTGTTCAAGTGGTTGGTAATGGAAGCTGTGCTTAGTAGTAGATGGGAAAGAACAAATCAACTACTGCCTTTTCCTATCTTGGTGACCAAAATGCCTTCTTTCTATTTGGAGACTGCCTAGACTTAGGGACTATACTAGTTACTTTTTTCCTTACTGTGAACAAATGCCTGCGAGGAAGCAACTTAAGGGAGGAAGGGTTTATTCTGGCTCATAGTTTGAAGGGATACAGTCCGTCATGACTAGGAAGATATGGTGGGCACATGAGGATGCTGGTCATACTGCATGTAGTCAGGAAGCAGAGATAATTGCTCACATTTAGCTCCCTTTCTCCTTTTTTTTTTTTTTTTTTTTTTTGGTCTTTTTTGAGACAGTGTTTCCCAACAGCCCCAGCTGGCCTGGAACTCCCTATATAGACCAGGCTGGCCTCGAACTCACAGAGATTTGCCTGCCTCTGCCTCCAGTGTGCTGGGACTAAAGGCATGTGCCCCCATACCTGGCTCCCTTCTCCTTGAAGCCCATGAAATGGTATTGCCTACATTTACAGTTGGTCTTCCTCAGGTTTACCTTTCTAGAAACACCCTCATAGACATACCCAGAGGTGTGTTTCTATCTTCTAAATCAAGTTCACAATGAAGATTAACTATCACAGTTCTTCTCCTCCTCAGCTTAACAACCAAATGCATAATTTTAAGTTGTAACATTGGGCTAAAGATGGCTCAGCAATTAAGAGCACTTGCTGCTCTTGCAGAGGAACAGAATTCAGTTCCCCTCCACTCATATCAGGTGACTCACAACCACCATCTGACACCCTCTGCTTTCCAGAGACACACACATACACATACACATACATATACACATAAATAAAAATAAAATAAATATGTTTTTTAAATTATAGCATTTCACCCATATCCCTAAAATTTCATTTTTATCTTATAATGCAAAATGCACTTTGTCCATCTCTAAAACTTCCTGTAGTCTTTAGCAATCCCAACAGTATTCAAAATCCAGTCTCTTTTGAGACTCAAAGCAGTCTCTTAATTGTGAACCCTATAAAATCAAAACAGGAGTTACATGCTGCTGTATACAATGGCACAGTATTGATGTTCTATTTGAGAAGGAAGGAATGGGAATCTAGCAAGAAAACATAGGACCAAAGCAAGACCCACACCAGCAGAACAAACCAAACCCTGCAGTTCCACAGCCAGCATCTGGGACTTATGATAGAATCATTTGGGCTCCATTAGTTTGGGGCAGCCCCACCCCTCTAGCTTTGTCCCTACAACACATATGATCTCCCTCCTGGACTAACTCCAGTTTTTTCCTGCAACTTTCCTGAGTTGTGGCATCTCCGGCATTCTGGGGTCTCCATTGTAACTTAGGCTTCACCTTTCCAGCATCACGCAATGGCCTCTCAGAGCCTCCTTTCAGGGAATCTGACCCTGCCACATAGTGCCTGACCTCAGCAGCTTTCTTGAACTATGGTGCAAGCCTTCACTTCCCCTTTAATTTTGCATCATTCATGCCTGCAAAACCAGTGCTGCAAGAACAATACTGCCAAATTCTAGGCCCCTTGGACCACAAATCTGTTCCAAAGACTAAAACCACACAGTCAGATTTATCATAGCAATGGCCCCACTCCTAAATACCAGTTTTCTGTATTTGTTGTGACCAAAACTCTGACAAAAAGCAATTTACAGAATGAAGGGCTTATTTTGGCTCCTGGTTTGAGGAGGTACAGTCCACTATGGTAGGAAAAGCATGGTGGCAGGAATGTGAGGTGGCTGGTCACATTGTACCTATAATCAGAAAGCAGAGAGAGCTGAATGCTTATGCTCAGCTCTTTTTCTTTTCATTTTCATTCAATCTGGGAACCTAGCTATCCCATGAAATGGTGCCAACCAACATTCTGGGTGATTCTTCTTTCCTCTGTTAAGCCTTTCTGGAGACACCCTCATGGACACATCCAGAGGTGTGTTTCCATGGTGATTCTAAATCTAGTCAAATGGACAATGAAGAGTAATTATTACAGGGACAGAGAAGCATACAGGTAACATATGCTTGTGGCATTTTTTTTTAGGGGGTCTGTTAGGATCTTACTGCCACTATCACATGGTTCTAAGAGGAATGTCTTTTCATAAAATGGAGTAAGTTTGATGTTCCTGTAATCATAGTTGTATTCAGCAGGTACAAAGGCTAGAGTATGACAGGTACCATCACAAGCACCTCATGCATATTAACTCACTTCACTCACACCCTCTTTAAGCACCTTTGTTTCCTTTTTTTTTTTTTTTTTTTTTTTTTTTTTTTTTTTTTTTAAAAAAAAAAAAAAAAAAAAAAAAAGAGGACGATAAATCTTTCACTGTGATATATCAAAATAATGCCTCCCAAGTGCTGGGATTAAAGGCGTGTGCCACCACACCTGGCTGTTTCCCTGTTTTTACAGGATGATGAGCCAAAGCCTGAAGAGATTAGTTTGGCATAGTTTGCATAGTGGGCAAGTGAGATTCATACCCAGACATTCTGATTCTAGACTTTAGACTCTTCCTTTGAAACTTGTATTGTCAGCTTTTTACTTTTCAAATAACATAGATCTCTGTATAGTTTCTGCCCACAGTAACCCAAACTCATTTTGGTCATGAAATAGAACATGGTTGGGTAGTTCAGTGGGAGTGGGGTCTGCCAATCACCACAGGTAGGATCACTTTTATGGATCACTTTATTGGTGATGCTCTTTAGTTGTGTCACAGACAGAAAGACTGACTGGATTTCTGTTTTCAGTTTCAGGATGCCAAGAAACTGTGGAGTCAGGAGAAATTAAATGTCATTTCCAGTTAGATCCTCTTCAGAGCCAGAATTCCTTTAGACTGGTTTTGGGAGAAAGGGAAACTGCTACCTTCAGGCATGACCAAGCCCTCAGTCTTGTGACTATACAGACACACAGCATTGGGGCTTTAGCTGCAGTGGTTCACAGTTTCAGTGAGTCTGCCCAAAGAGAAGGAATCTCAGGTCACAGCAGTCTCCATAGCCCTGGCCTGCAGGATGTCCCATCTTTGCAGAGTACCCAACACTCTTGCCTTGTCTATGGGGAAAACTCTTGGAAGAAGAACCACTTGATGAAACATCAAAAGGCGGGTGCCAAGAACTCATCACCATCACCAGAGGTCAGGAAGGTCAAACGGTCACAGCTGCAGAGGAAGGTGGCAGGGACACAGACTCACTTCCCATGTCCTGAATGTGGAAGGGGCTTCTGCCAGAAGCAGTATTTGATGAGGCATCTGAATGCCCACACAAAGAAGAGCCCATCCCAGTGTCCTGAATGCAAAATGTGCTTCCATCATGAGCAGACCCGTGTCAGCTGCCACTTTAAGCACAGTCCTCCCCAGAACCTCAACTATGACAAGAGCTTCTTCCCAAAGGACAGCATAAATGCCCACGAGTGCCAGGAGAGTGGAGGGAGGCCAGCTTCCTGGAGAGAAGATACCACTGTGGATTCAGGACAGACGCCAGGCCCCAGTCTGGGCTGTGTGGACTGTCTCCTCCAGGAGAGCAGAGTGGAGGCTCCCCAGTGCAGCTGTAGCCACGGAGGGGACAGACCCTGTGCCTGCACAGAAAGTAACAACTGCACCTCTTCAGGGTCAAAGCTGACCAGCCTCTGCAGGGCACACGAGGGAGAAAAGCCTTTCCAGTGTCCAGAGTACAACAAGCGTCTCTGTCTGAGAGGCCGGCAGAATGTGCACCAGCGTGTGCACAGTGCAGAAAGATCACTCACCTCCAGAAAATGTGATCCGGGCCTCACCAAGCCTTGCAGGCTCACAGAGCACACCCGAATACCCAGCGGGGAGAAACTTTTCTGGTGTGCTGAGTGTGGCAAGAACTGCCCTTACCAAAGGGGACAGCTGCTGAGGCACCAGCGGCTGCACCAGGAGGAGAAGGCCTTCCAGGGCGCACTGCGTGAGTCCAACTTCGGCCTGCGTAGCGCGTTGAGGGTCCACCAGCTGCAACACGTAGGAGAGAAGCGGTTCTCCTGCAGCGAGTGTGGCCGCGCCTTCAGCCATCAGTGCAAACTGCGAGAGCATCTCAGAGTGCACAGCGGGGAGAGGCCCTTCCAGTGCTCCGAGTGCCACAAGAGCTTCCGCCTGAAGGGCGTCCTGAAGACCCACCAGCACGTCCACAGCAACGAGAGGCCGTTCTCTTGCGCGGAGTGCGGCAAGGGCTTCACCAGGCAGTCGAACCTCACGGACCACTTGCGCGTGCACAGTGGGGAGAGACCCTTCCAGTGCCCAGAGTGCGACAGGCGCTTCCGCCTGAAGGCACAGCTGCTTATCCATCAGCGCCTGCACACTGGAGAGAGACCCTACCAGTGCCCCGAGTGTGGCAAGAGCTATCGGATGAGGGCTGTCATGAAGGCACACCAGCAGCTGCACAGCGGGCAGATGCCATTCTCCTGTGAATGTGGGAAGGGCTTCGCCAAGCACTCGAAGCTCGTGGAACACAGGAGGATGCACACAGGAGAGAAGCCCTTTCAGTGTCCCAAGTGTGACAAGAGTTTCCGCTTGAAGCCACAGCTGCTCAGCCACCAAGGCCTGCACACAGGAGAGAGACCTTTCCACTGCCCTGAATGTGATAAGAACTTCCGGGAAAGGAGTCACATGGTCAGGCACCAGCGCATCCACAGGCCTGAGAGGCCCTTTGTCTGTGGCGACTGTGGGAAGGGCTTCATTTATAAGTCCAAACTGGCTGAGCACATCAGAGTACACAGAAAATCTTGTCCGGCCCCACCTGAGCCTAAGCCTAAGCCTGACATCAAGCAAAGGCTTAGCCAATTATTTGCAATGATAGAGGCTGACTGGAGCTGATGTGGGTGGCACAGCAAAGCAGTTAGCCCAACTGAATTACCAGGGCTTCCTGAGGAAGTGTGGCTAAACCCACAGGAAGACAGATTTTAGGAAGTGGGGTTCTACTTTGAGCAAAAGTGTAATACAAATTAGAAATGGGAAACTATGAAGAATTTTGTCTTTTGAAACATCGCCAATTATATTTCCTATCCATTGGTAAAAAGAGATATTTCTTCTTCCTACAATCTTATGTGGTAATTTTCACCTAAATGCAGTTAGTTCTAATGTCCCATCTTATATTCAACCAGAAGGAAATCCCTCGAGGACCATTCTCAAAGCTGAAAGGATAGGATGGCTATTAAATATTAATTCAACTTTTTTTTTCCTTTTTAGAGTATGATTCTAAACTGTGGATTAAATCCAGTAAATTCTGTTTCTGTCATTGTATACTCTTGGATTTGGTTCATTTTGAAACTGCATGCAATAAGATGAATTCTCTGGCCCAGCGTGGTAGTGCAGCCCTTAATCCCAGCACTTAAGATCTTTGTGAGATCAAGGCCAGCCTGGTCTACATAGCAAACATAATATACTTAACATTACAAACAAAAAGATGAATTCTCTAAGTCTTTGTTCTTGTGAATGCTGAAGTTTCTCAGCAGGGCCCAAGGTGATGAATTGTAGTGCACCCTAAGAAAATGCTGATGATCCCAGCAAGGTGTATTTTTCAAATTATTAGAAGCTAAAGGACACTTACTTCTCTTTGGATCTTCTAAGGGAAGTGGTGTTTTGATTTTCTGGTGTAAAAAATTTTGGGATTTGTTTGTTTTTAGTTTTTTTTTTAGTTTTTTCGAGACAGGATCTCTCTGTGACTAGTCCCAGCTAGTGGCCTGAAGCTTCCTATGTAGACCAGGCTGACTTTGATTTCAGAGATCTACCTGCCTCTGCCTCTGCCTCCCAAATGTTGGAATTAAAGGATGTGCTACCACACCCAGCTTTGTGTGAAAAGTTTTGAAGAGGCTAGTTACTGGTCTATCTATGATTTCTCTCTGGCAGCTATAATGTTTTTAGAGCAAATAAATGGCCAGTTTTCAGTTTAAATTTCATTTTAGTGGCGCAAAACAATGCCAAGTATAGACACGTCTGAAGATATAACTTTCTCTTACTTCTTTTAAACACATGGATATTTTATTCTATCTCAGAGAAAGTGTTTTAGACAAGTCTATGTGTCTTTTCCTTTTATTTCATCTCGAAGCATAATAACATGATTACACAACTCTGCCCTCGGCAGTCCCTAACATGGCCAAGTGCTACAGTAGTTTGTTTTTGTGTTTTTTTCTATAGTAGTTATTTTAACACAACTATGTTTGTCCTTTTGGAAGTGCTCAAATGTTTATTTAATTTAATTAAATTACTTGTTTCTCCAGTTAGAAATGAGTGTGGGTGGTGATTCCAATGGCTGACTTCTTAATTAGCTCTCTGCACTCCAGTTTCTGTAAAACAAAGGTCAGTGTATTCAGCATTTCACCTCTGTCAATGTATCAAATCTGCTTTGTTTGCACAGTTTGTTAACTTTCAAAAAGAAGGCTAGCAAAACCATTACAAGCTTCTTGGAATTATGTCACTAAGCCTTCACCATTTCCCATATTGAGAATTCTGCCTTCACCAGACTCCTGTAGTAGTTCCTTAACTGATATGAACAAAGGTAGAAGGACTTTAACAGTTACCTAAGAGGACAGATGAGAAGCCATCCTGAGTCACAAGAATGTGTTTGTGGTCCAGGTGTCAGTGATACAGTAGTGGGAAGATCTGAATGAACATGTGACAAGGACTGTCTGTCAGATTATGATCTCTCTAGGAAAAATGAGTTTTTGTTGACAGTAACTCAAGAGAGCAGTTCAAAGACTAAGGAAGCCTAGGCAGGTCACCTCTTTCTGTTTGCTGCATGGTTAGGCATTAATGAGACATCAGCATTCTTTATTGTTAAGGTTCAGATAGCCCTGCCCCCTCACCAACAGGATCCCAAGGATTTCTCATGCTCCTGAGAAAAGGGAACCTAGCTGATGAGCACCTTGGTCTTTGAAGTCAAGAGAAGCAGACTTTTCTCCACTGTTTGGCCAACACAGCAGGCTTCCCCTTTGATCTCTAAAGAGGACAGGTTTTAACAGTCCTGCTCTCCCACTCCCCCCTCAACTTTAAAAAAAATACATCTTCCCACCTTCTGCAGGAAGCAGAAGCCTCCCTTTTAAAAAGACCCCAGCTCAAGACCCAGGCAACCATTTTACCTGCCCAGAAGGGAATCTGTCCCATGTGTTCTTTTGCTAATAAACCCTATTTTGATGGAGTTTTAGCCATGCCTCGGTGCCTCATCATTCACTCGTTCTCCGCCAACTTTTTACCTATCATTTATCACTAGCATTCCTGTGAAAACATCAATTATTTGTGTGCTGTCACACTGAATTAGTTCTTTTCTTGCTGTGACCAAATACTGCCAAAAACAGAGAAGAAAAAGATGTGTTCTGGCTCAGTATCAAGAGGGTTCCAAGTGTCATGGTGAGGAATGTGGGTAGAGCAAAGTGGTTCACAAAATGGTGGGCCAGGAAGCAGAGAATGGTTGCTCAGGTGACCTTCCTCCACCCCCCTCCTCCCTTCCTTTTTCTTTTCCTTTTATTTCATCCAGTGCCCCAAGCCCATGGAACAGTGCCACCCACACTCAGGGCAGATCTTCAGTTAATCCTCCCTGGAAGCACCCTCACACCTACTCAGAAGTAGACCTTACCAATTTCTAATCTAGTTAGGTTAACAATGTAGATTAATCACCATGTGTGAAGTTTATGTCTTTGAAGTATCCACCTTGATACTATTACCATCAATTTTGTGTGTGGGGGGGGGTGGGTCTCAGCATCTTGGCATTATTATCTTTCATTGCAACCTACCAAGGGGTTAAGTTAATGGCTATATTTTCAGAATTTTCATTCCCATGAGGCATGGTGGCCCTTGCCTACAGTCGTAGCATTTGAGAAGCCAAGGCAGGAGGATCATGAGTTTGAGACCAGCCTGGGCTACACAGTGAGATTTTATCTCAAAAATAAAATAAGCTCTGCCTTAGCACCATCTTTCTTGAAACAGCTGCTCCATGACAGCCAAGTGGAAGAAGAAGAAGCGAATGCAGAGGCTGAAGCTAAAGCGAGCTGACGCCAGGCAAACAGGCTTGTGTACCCATGGAGGCTACAGGGCAGAAAGATGGAAAACCAGAGGCTGGGACACTGGGACAAGTTGTTGAACTGTATGATACTGCTGATACTTGAGTAGTTCATCCCAGCAGATCTAGAACTTGATTATCTGATAGTCAAGACCACCTCTGAGAGTCAGCCGTGCTTACAAGCAGAGCAGTCCCTGTTGCGCTGGATCTGAGCACTCTGGACTAGTTCTGTTCTCACTTGTGGCTGAGTGTAACCTATATACAATCAGTCATCTCGTTTGCTGCCTAAGCTGAGGAATCAAATAAAACCTAAAATAATCATTCTCTTATTAAATTCAAGAGAAATCAACACTTATTGAATATTTCTCATACTTATTTTTTTGTAATCCTGGAACTCGCTCTGTAGACTAGGCTGCCCTCAAATCAGAGATTCTCCTGCCTCTGAGTGCTGGGATTAAAGGTGTGGGCTACTCCATACTTCTGTAATAAGTAGAAAGATAATAAAATACAATCACTACCCTCAAGCAAATAGCCACTGTAGTGGTTTCAGCACAGACAGACAGATACACACACATTGCATGAGACTGTGCTTGGTTACAAATGGCAGAAATTCAAACTAAGGGTTATAGGCTCATGTAAAGAGGCAATCCAGTGGTCAGTCTTCACAAAAGGGCTCACCCCACTGTTGGGAAAAAAAATGAAATACCTTGATGAATGCTGTAAGAACTCTGAACTCTGATAGAAAACTCTGTTTAAAATGTTGATTTAGATTTACTTGCTAAGCTTGCCTGTTCTGCCTGATTGTATCTACCACACATGGATGATTAACCTAGTTGAAATGCTAAGAATTGAAGTGCTGTAAACCTCCTTCCTGGACCCTGGACCCTGGACCCC